GAACCCTCGGGCGGGAGCGCCGCCGCACTCCCAAGCGGCGCACTATCCAGTGCGCCACCGGGCCGGCCCAGCAAAAGTATGCATTCTTAATTCTCCTCTAATCAGCCTCCCCTTGACTGGTTGCCTGAAATTCTGTGAGTTTATTAATGACAGATTTTAGTGTTCTAAGCTTGACTAGGGCTTAAAAGAAGAGATACAGCGAGAATGAGACAGAGTGGCATAGATTAAAATTGTGCCTTTTCACAAATGTTTTATGGCTAATGTTTTACAGCTAACAACCCATATTAGTCCATTTTTGTGTTGCTATAACAGAAGACCTGAGACTGGGTTATTTGTAAAGAGAAGAGGTTTATTTGGCTTATGATTCTGGAACTGCTGCGTCTGGGCCTCAGGCCGCTTCTAGTCATGGCAGTGGCCTGTGCAAGGAGATCACATGATGAGAAAGGAAGCAAGAGAGGGAGGGGAGGTGGCAAGCTCTTTCTGACAACCAACTCTGGTAGGACCTAATAAAGTGAGAACTCATCCCACACCCCAGGGCGTCCATCTAATCCTGGGGAATCCACCCTGTGACCCAGCACCTTCCGCTGGGCCCCACCTCCCAACACTGCCACACTGGCATCAAATTCCAACATGAGTTTTGGGGGGCCTATCATATCCAGACGATAACACAACCTAAAAAGTTAATATTTTTATTTTCTTAACTTTGTAAGCTCTAAAAACAACACACTAAAAATGATTACTGTGCAAATGAAGAACTGGCCTTAAAAATCCAACCATTGCTAATGACTTACTGCTTGTTTTTCTCTAGTGACGCTTATTAAGAGAAAAAGTTAAATTGAATTGGTTTTATGTAGTCTTTAGTATGGAAGAAAAGATTTAGTGAATTTTGAGAGAGTAAAAATCTATACTATTTTCCTTCCTGATGATGAATGTGTAAGTTTTGTGGGATCTGGGACTTGTCAGTTTAGTTTATTATGGTCTAAATATATTTTGTCATTTGCAAAATTAGGATAATTTGTCTTGTGTGGTTGTGAGAGTTAGATACCATGAATACAAAGCACCTAAGAGGTGCTTAATGAAAATTAGCTGTTACAATGACATAGGCTAGAAGCATCAACTTTGAATAATGAAGATGATGATTTCTTTTTGATGCATATTTAATACATATATGCATATAATATATATGAATATGATTTAAAGTGATAAGAGTTCAGTTATATTTTTTACTGTAGTATGAAGTTTTCATGGTCAGTGTCATTCTAGTAAAATAAAGAATAGCTAAATTACCTTAGGCTGAAGAAGTTAAAGATTATTTGCACAGAATATATATTTTTACAACTCAGAATTCTTATTACCACATAATCATCCACTAAAACGTTTAAATTACTAGGAATTTGTCATTCAGAAGCTGACCATTACTATTAAGTTCAGAAAAATTAGTCACATAATCATCCACTAAAACGTTTAAATTACTAGGAATTTGTCATTCAGAAGCTGACCATTGCTATTAAGTTCAGAAAAATTAGTATTGAGGGTTGCGATCCGTTGCCGGACACGGAAAAAGACAAAAGACAAAAAAAAAAGAAAAATTAGTATTAACCTATTTTCATGAAATAAGCTTACCTCTTTTGTGACTGAAGAAAATTTTAATTTTTCTCCTGTGCTTTTAATAGCTAAAAAAAAAAAATAAAATGTTGATTTGACATCTGTCACTTTTCCTTTATAGAGAACAAAAGGGGATGTCATTGAGTAGATCATGCTGTTTTAATATGTAAATGAATGTTTTTGTACTTTAATAAAATAGTATGTTTTATGGTTACTAGTCCTTTGGGAAGTATTTTGCAAAACACTTAGGCTATGTACTGTTTGAAAAATATGAGGGTGCTTCAAAAAGTTTGTGGAAAAATAAAATTGAAAGGTAATATGAATCTTTCCATGAACTGTTTGAAGTATCATCATACAGATGTGACTTTTATGGCAATAGGGTTAATATAGATCAGTTATTTTTTGGTACAGTGCAAAATACATGGGCTAGGAGAAAGCTTTGCTACTGATTGCCAGAGGATGAATTCCCTGGGTCTCCACCTGTCTGCCTGTAAAATGAAGTGGCTAGAGCAGATGCCCAAGATTCTTTCCTGTTCTAAGATTAGTTTCTGTGAGCTTATGTCTTTTGTTTATATTCAGGGGTGTTCAAGTTTTCAGATTAAGGACTGAATACCACTCCCTTTTCTGAAGCAAAATTCAATATATGCTAGCTAAGCTTTTAGTTATGGTCTCTGAGCATCCTATTTAAAAAAAACCCTACTGATCATTTATTATGCGTCTTTTCAACTTGGAAAGACTTTTCTGGCCATAGGTGGCACTGTTGCACCAATTTTTAAAATAAGTCCTAATATTCCTGTTTGTAAAAGACGACTTAAACAAGGTTCCTTTAATTTGATTTTTTTGTTTGTTTTAATGCCTTGGAATAGCACAATGTCCATTATATCTGGATACCTGGAAAAAGTATTCTAGTTATATATTATTTTTATTTTGTCATCTCAGTGTGAAAATTTCAGATGTGCCGTGTGAACAGTGGTGAAATTGGACTCTTCTTCCAGTATTAGAAACCAGTCAGCCATGGTTTTATAAAAGAGATAGCAACTGTCTCTGGAGCACCTGAAAGCTGAAAAGAATATTGAGCTCCCTGAGTACTGAGCCCACTGTTGTATGTTTATTAGTGGGAGGTAATTTGGTATTATGGAAAGAGCCTAGTTTTTCACTCAACTGACTTGTGTTTGCATGTAGATGCTACCACTTAGCCATGCAAATTGAGTAAATTCTTTCTCAATTTTTTTTCCTCATCTGTGAAATGGGGCTGCTAATATCTGCTTTGTAGAATTGTGAGAGTTAGAATGTACAAGTATGCAAAGTGTTTAGGATAGTGGTCATCTCATAACCATTAGCTATGATTTTGTATGAAGCCATTATTTTATAGTGTTTAGCAATTACTAAGGAATTAAGTAGGAAAAAGTGGCTTTATGAAGAAAGACCCAATTAAGAACTGAGGGAATATTTGAACTGAGGGTCATTAGTTTCTACTCATAATTTAGCAGCAGCATTAGAGATATGGCCATTGTCATGTTGAACCTACTGTAAGCCACACAATGGTTTGATTGCCATGTGTTGGGGCTTAAAGACTGCAATAATAACACTCTTTTTTCCTCCACCAACCAATTAAGAAATGAGACAAAAGAGTAGGCAGGCAGAGAATTGAAATGTCACCCTCATTACTGATTAGGCCACATTCTTTATGAACTTTAATGATATAGGAAAATGGATGTCTCAAAACTGCGTCCCATATCTAGACAGACTGACCCAGCGCAGGCAGCTCTGGGCCACAGTGGGCCTTCCCAGGAGGTGACCTCTGCTGTCAGGCTTAGGGAAGGGAGGGCAGAGCATCCTGTGTGCGCCCTGAGGGCAGCCAGCACCCAGAGAAAGAAGAAGCGCTTCCCGTGCCCAGCTTGTCTTCCAGACGCGCTGATCTCACTACTCACTCCATTTCTGGGCGGTGGAGGGGATCGCAGGGGACAGACGGCAGCAGTGTTTGGGGAAAAGCCTTCCTTGTGGAAACCAGTGCCCTCTGCCCCACAGTTTCAACAAACAGATCACGGGGAGGACCAGAAGGATGCTCCCCAAGAATTTTTAAATAGATAAATAAGGATTCCTTTGGGACTTAGACTAGTGAGGAAATACAAAACGTGATCAGAATGGAGATTTGTAAAATCACCTTAATAGTTAACATTTGTTGAGCACCTAAAGTGTGTTACTATTCTAAGCATTTTACATAAACCGATTTAATCCTTTAATCTTTACCTCAACTCAGTAAGGTAGGATAGATTATTATCCCAATTTTATAGATGTGGAAACTGAGGCACGGAGAGGTTAAGTGACTTGACCAAGGTTACAGAGCTAGTAAGTGTCAGAGCTGGGATTTAAGCCCTGGCAGTTAGGCTGGGCTCCCAGAGATGGGCTGCAGGTTCTTAGAGCTATCAGCATTAAGAATCTGCAGCTCCGTGTATGCATATGTATATCACTTGGGGTGGGCCAGCCTGGAAAGGGAGGGAGTGGGAGAGAGTCACACAAGCATCGGCCGGCCGGGCGGGCGTTGTGTCTCGGCCACTGTCTGTGGAGAGTGCACTGTGGTTAGCATTAATTGTCTGTCTAGGCAGCAGCTCTGTCCTTGCAACAGAACTTTAGTCTGTCCGTTTATCTAGAAAAGCCTTCTTGCTCTGCTTCTCTTTATACTTGCACGTGACCTCCTGCCTGTGATTTGGCCACTGAGGAGAAAATGCTATTATTGAACCCCAGTATTTTGGTTTGATTGATAATTTTATGTCTCCTATTACATTGAAAGGTTAAACCTCCAGTTTTCCTGCATTCATCTTTTATGAGTTTGGTTAACGTGGAGTCAATCTAGTAGAGCCTGATAATTCTGATGATGCTGATAGTCAATAATTGATAATTGTGATAATGACTGTGAGACATCAGAAGTTTCAGTCAAATCGCCTGTTTAAAGGACATAGCACAGTGTCATGTATTGGACCAGGTTTTTCATGGAACAAAAGATTTGCAGTGTTATCTGAAAATCCAGACTTCTCCAAGATTCTGTGTAGCTGAATGTCTGCTTAGTGCAGATCTGTCAGCTTGTTGCTGTGGGACATGGTGTCATGGGTGTGTGGTGGTGGGGTATCCCTGGGCTCCTCTGAGCTTCAATCTCCTCACCTGCAGTGCAGGATTTATACCATCTGTCTACTTTGCAAGGTTGAGCTGCAAATCATGCATGATATTTGTCAAGCCTTGTACTTGGCACAGAGTTGGTATTCAATAAAAAGGATCTATTTTCTTTTAAGATTGTGGTGATTTTTAGTCTGCATTTAAAAATAGAGATTGCTATACACAAAATAGCTCTTAAATAACACCATAATGATGGGACCTATTCTCTATTTACACAATTGAATACATATGCTATTTCAATAAGTATGTATGTTATTGGGACATACCTTTTAGGATCTTGTTAATGTGTTTAAAAATGATAATAGGTAATGATAAACATGAGTCTTGGAACCAGTACCTCTTGGGCTGTGTTTTGCCATGGTGGGAAATTACATTTTGCAGGGAAGTCTAATTGGATTGCACTGATATTTGGATAGTTTAGCATGTGATCATGGCTTTCACAAGCTTCTTGATAATAATGAAGTTAATTGTTGTATATTTTAAGCTAACTGCAAAGCTATCTTCTAAAAGTTGGAAGTCCTTAGCTCGATGAAGTATCCAGTGGTTCAGTGTGTGTGTGTGTGTGTGTGTGTGTGTGTACATACATACATGTGTGTACACGTGCATGCATGTGTGTGTGAGAGAGAGAGGGAGAAGTGTGTGTGTGTGTGTGTGTGTGTGTGTGTGTGTGTGTGTGTGTGTGTGTACATACATACATGTGTGTACACGTGCATGCATGTGTGTGTGAGAGAGAGAGGGAGAAAAGAAAGAGAGTGATTTTAAGGAGATAAGTGATGTTTCATATAGCTCTCTGGCACCTTTTCTCCCCCATTCCAGCGTGCTGACATATATTTACACAAATAATATTTCTTTGTCATGTGGCTTATTTGTGCAAATAAGAAATTCTCATACTTTAAGAATAGTTGGGAGCATGAGCTTAGAAAGTGGGAAGGGAAAGAGGTAAGGAGGTCCTCTACAGTTTGTTTAGAGTATGAGCAATGGCTTTTCTTTTTTTTCCTTCTGAAGCAAAAAGGCACTAAGCTTGTAATGTATTGCTATTCAAAATTGCTTTTCTGATCAGATACAAGTGTCTCAGATTTTTCAAGGCTATATGAATTATGAAATGTGTTTTAGTAGTTATCTTAAAAATAGTTTTATTTTCCAAATAAAAGACCATAATCTGTTCTTTCTTCCAGGGGCACAAGAAGTTCTCATTGATCCAGGTACACGATCTATGTGCTTGTTTCTTTTGGTTATTTTAAGTGCTTGTTTCGTGGTGGTGTGAATGAATGGTTAAAACCTCTGGATTATGATCTTTGGGACATTCTGATTTAAGTAACTTTAAATCAGAACTGTTAAAAGCCTGATTATCGTTTGGCCCTTGTTTGATGGGGCACCCTATTGCTTTATGTTGTCGAAGAGGAAAATTCTTCCTCTAGCATGGTTAAGTGAATGATTTGAGAATTGTGTCTTTAATTCTTTGAATGCATTGAGCATGCCTGTCCTGACCATTTTGAATTCATTGGTAGTGATGACTTTGCTCTGAGTCTGTGGCTTATACTCCTTTCAACATGAATTTGAAATCGCTACTATATTTCATACATATGTTCTTAACAGGGAAAGAAATTTTGCATTTTTTATAAAGGTGGGTTTTTCTTTCCACTTTTAACACTTTCTGTAATTGATATAGCAAAAATCTCTCTCTTTTTTTTTCCTTTTTGTCTTTTTTACTGACCGGTAACGGGATCGCAACCCTCGGTGTTGTGCCCGCACCGCGCTCAGCCAGTGAGCGGGAACCGGTCTCCACATGGGATCCGAACCCTCGGCGGGAGCGCCGCCGCGCTCCCAAGCAGTGTACTCTCCAGTGCGCCACCGGGATGGCCTGCAAAAATCTCTTTTATTGTGACGCTTAATTTCATGATGAGCTCTATTATTTTCTGGCTTAATCAGGCCTAATGTCAGGGTAAATAATAAAAACAAGAAAAACTTCTTTCCTTTGAGGAATAGAAATCAGATAGGTGTGCTTACACAGGTTTTGTAACCAACACATTTACTTTCATCTCATTGTGTGTCTTGATTCTGAACTGAAGTTGCTTGAGATTTGCAGATTTTTGTTTTCTCATTTGTGTTCAATCCTTTCTCTAGGCTGATTGCTAAGTTTCTTGATAGGGTTTGTGGAAAGTATAGAGGAAGAACAGCTGCTTTGTTTTGTTTTCAGGAGACCTGAGTTGTTGATGAGAAAACAACAGGAGGGCAGCCAGAGTTTATGGGACTGAGGGACTGAATGACCTCACCCCACCCCCCAGCAGAAACTGATGTATTTTTTTTTTTTCCTTTTTGTCTTTTTTTCGTGACCGGCAACGGATCGCGCCCGTACCGGACCGGGACCGGCTACGGGATCGCAACCCTCGGTGTTGCTCCTGCAC